GGGGGGCTGTCGTAGGGCTTCTTGCTGAACATGGTGGCGGAGCCTGGGGGTGACACGGAGGGAGAGTCAGAGCCAGTCAAGCACCGGGAGGTGCCGGCACCGGGAACCGCCGCGTTTCCACCGCCCCGTGGGGACTTTGGTCCGTCCCCCCCCCCCCTCCAGCTCCCGTCACCAGCACTGTCAACACCCGCCCAACGCCGCGGCACCGGAGTCAGCGCGGGGAAACTGAGGCACGGGCGCGGTGAGTCACCGGCGGCGCCCGGCACGTCACGCCCCGGCCCTGCCCCACGCCCCCCCCCCTCCAGGCCTCCCAGACCCCCCCACCGCGGCCGCCAGACACCGGGGATTGTTTAAATTCTCCTGAAAGCAGCAGCAAAGCGCTTACCCGGGGCCCGCCCCCCGCCCCGAGGGTGCCGCCGTAAGCAGATCTGAAGGATTAAAGAGGAAAATAATAATAATAATAATAACAACAACACGGGGCACGTGAGCAGCAGCCCCCAGGAAAGTGGCGAATCGGCGCGTAAAAATTTGGGGGATTTCTCAAAATCGATGCGGGGACCTCCCCCCACCACCACGCGGTGCAGAGACCCCAGCCCGGAGCACGGAGCAGCGTCGGGGAAACCTGAAGCCCTGTGGGAAATCCAACCCTGGCACCCGTTCTGGCAGAGCTCAGTGGCAGGATTAGACCCCCATGGTGGGTGGCGGGGTTGGAAGGACCCCCTGACCCGTGGCAAGGGTGGGCACTGGGCCCCAGTGGTGCCCCCGGGGCTTTGGGGCTGCCTAAGCCAACCCCTCTCCACTTCAAGTGTCCCAACACCCCCCGTCCCACAAACCCCCGAACCTCCCGATCGCAGTCGGATTCACCCCCGGACCGCGAGCTGATCCCTCCCGCCCTCCCGGGGGTCCGAGCGGCCACCGGGACCCGGTAGCTGCGGGGACCCCCCCCCCGAGCGGGACTGGGGGGTCTCGGGCCCCCGGAGCGGGAACCGGAGCGCGATGCCCCCCGGGGCCGGCGGGGAGGACACGGGACGGGGCGTCCGGGGGTCCCTTCCCCGCTGAGGGGGCACCGGGCGGGCAGCGCGACCCCCGGCCCCGCCGCCCCGGGAGGAGCAGCGGCCTCTCGGCTTTGGGAGCCCCAGTACCGGTGGGGACCCCGGTGGGGACCCCGGTGGGGAGCCCAGTACCGGTGCGGACCCCCGCGGCCGGTTCCGCACGGGACCCTGGTGAGACCCCGATACCGGCGTGGAGTTCGGCGGCCGGTACCGGCGTGGACCCCGGTGGAGAACCCAGTGCCACCGGAGAGGATTTCGGTGCCAGGGGGGACGCCGGTACCGGAGGGAAGCCCGGCGGGGACCCCGGTGCAGGTGGGGCGGCGGGGAAGGACGAATTCCCCCCGTGCGCGGCGGGGCGCGGGGACCCCCAGTGCGCCCTCCCGCCCCGGGAGCCCCTTCGCCCCGCGGGGCCGCGGCCGGGGCCGGTACCGGGGAGGGGAAGGGGGTCCCGTCGCCGCGGAGCCACTCACCTGCCGCCGCCTCCTCCGCTTTGTTCACCTTAAAATGGCAGCCGGGAGCGGCGGGAGGCGGCGGCGGCAGCGCTGCGGGACCGGCCCCGGGTCCCGCCCCCGGGAGGGGTGGGATGGGAGGGGTGGGAGCACCGGGATCCGCCTCGGGGGGGGG